TAATTCAAACAGCTTAGAGACCCTCACCAATAGATCCGGAAGGGTCAAAAACCCCCAGAACGAACTAAAGAACGTCCGAAACGGACGTCCGGAACTCCCAAAACATCAAAAACACTGAAAACACTCAATCTGCCACGCATAATTCGCTCAACGCACCTCTCTTGTGCGCTCAGCGAATTTTGCTGTAGAGGAAGCTAAATTCTGTAGATTTTTCTGCATAATTGAGCAACTCTAACTCCCTTTTACCCATTCTAATCATTTTGGTGAACTTCTACCACTCACAAATCAACTTTCATGCTAAATTAAACTTACCTAAACAATTCTAATCCTTTCTAACATTATTATAAAGTGTTTATGCATTGATTTAGGTTCTACAACTTCAATTTTATCAACCTAGAGGTCTAAATTCAATTCTACAACATGGAGTTGGTTTTTAACCATTTAAACATGCCTTCTAAGTCATACATGACCTACCTAAGTTACTTAAACTGACTAGGATCACCAAGAATGCTTAACTCTAATTTTGACCACCACACTTTCTTTCTAACTCTAAAACACCAAATTTTTTCCAACTTAGAGACCCAAACCCGATCTTACCTCTTTGCACTAATTTTGACCAAGTTAGTGACTCAAACAAGTCACAATACAGTGGATAAATCTGTCCCAACAGTCCAATAACGCTGCAGACCTCATTTGTTCAAAATCACTACCTCACTTCCTCTAAAATGGTCTAAAATTGACCCTAAAGACACTTGATTTCCTTTCTAACAGCACTACCATAGTTTTCATGCCAAAACAGTTTCAACATACATAATTCCATTATTCTAAGTCATTCCAAACAGTTTATAACCATCAATTACCAAATTCACATAACACACACTTCCATACATGTATTTCAAGTGTAACTAGAACCAAGTTCATGCTTCCACAACATACTACTACAAATTTATCTTGCATTCACTCCACACAGTAAAATCAAGAGTAGAACTAGCTCCCCTTACCTTAAATTTCCAACACTTAAACTCAAGAGGAAATCCAAAGGCACTCTAGAAAAATTGACAGCACCTATATTTCACCAAATGATGATAGAAATTAGTCTCTAAAATAAGCTTAGGGTTAAGATTTTGGGGAAAAATCACAAGTGAACTACATGCAGCAAAATTTGCTACATGATCACAGTTCAAAAAGGGGAAAGTTACTTACCCTACAAAATCGCAAATGCAATCGGTGAAAATTGGAGCCCTTGATGCAAAGATCGCCTAGACGTCTGCGGAATGGGAATCCAGTGACTCAATGGAGGGGAAATCTAGAGAGAAGAATGAGTTTTGGAGAGGACAATGTTAGAGAGATGTTTGAAGGAGAGAAAATGAAATGTAAGTTTCTGAAAATGTCTTCAGAAACTGTTTTTTAAGTTTTATTATATATATATATATATATATATTTAAGGTTATTACACTGAACAAGATTATATTAAATCACTAATTAATTAACATAAATAAATCAAGCCAAATAATCTATTTTGACAAATGTATTTTTAATAGTTTTATTTATAATTTTTTTTGTTTCAATTGAATATATATAAAATAATTACAGTTAATTGTTATGTTTTATTATGCCTATATAGTTATACCAAGTATTACAATATTAAATTATAGTAACCGGAAGAATTACAATAAAATTTTTTAATTTTTATATAAGATTGAATTTAAACATTAAATATCTCGAACAATCGATAATGAAGATTATTTTAACTATTTTTTTATGTTCCCACCTTATTAATAATTCTTCTTTGACAAACAAAATTTATTTAAGTAATTTTATTATATATAAAAACTACTTACGAATGAATGGTAATTATGATAAAATGTTTCTATTATGTAATTATATATTGTAAAATTAACATTATTATATAATTACCCTTTTATTGGTTTTTTATTTATTTCAAAATAAACGTACGAATGCGACGAGTTTTTTGTACAAGAGCGATTGTTTCAAAATGTAAATAATGGGTTGATGGATGGACGTTTACCGAATTAAATTTTGCAGCTTTATTGTGGGGTTGCCATTCTTTCATTCATTCATTCTCGTGTGGTTCAAATAAGGAAAACATTTTTTGAAAGTACAATATGTATCTTCTTTTTACATGTGAGAGAATCGATTGTGGGTAAGAATTGCGTTCAAGTTTACGGATTTAAGAGCGAAAGAAGAAGGAGATTAATGAGATCGTGAAATTTTCGAATTTTTCTTTAATTGAGGTGATTTGACGATGATAAATGTGTAAATATAATTTTATTTTAAAATTAAAAATGTTTTTTTTCTTTCATATTTTAGAATTAAAACACGCTTTCTTGACTTGCATGGTCTGTGTGTATGATTGTTGGAGAAACTCGTTTTAAAGAGAAGGAAACCGATTCTGACTGAAATAGGAATCGATTCCATGATTGTGCAAGGAGAAGGGAATACGGAATCGGTTCTTATGGTGCTGAAACTAGTTATAAGATGCATGAAATAGAGTATGATGTGTGTGAAATCGATTTTACTTTGTTGGCTGTGTTTTTCATTTGTTTTCCTTTGGTCACTGTATGTCGTGGTGGTTCATGACAGTGTTGTTGTGTTTCATTTGCATTAATTTTAGTTGTGGTTTGTGTGTGAACGTGTTGAATCTTAATATGAAAGAGTGGTAGTAGTGAGCTCGGTAGTCGGAGTTCCAAAGTGACAGGGCTGACGGTAGCATCCAATTTATTTATTTATTTTTTATATTAATTTTAAATCTTTTAACAAAAATAACACACAGTGTATTATAGCAAAATGTATCAACTCACACGTTCCTTCAAATCAATATTTAAAAGTGAATACAGCCGTGTATGATTTTCTTTTTGATTTTTCTATGCTCCTTACCCTAATCCTCATCATTAGATTTGACTGATTTGATGTTAAAAACTGAATTTCGTTGGACCCACAATAAAAGGACATTCCAAATATTATTATTTCTCAAAATCAAAACACCGAATTACGAAGAAGGGGTTGTAGAAAATAATGATAAAAAATACGATAACTCTTGTTCACACTTTTTCTCTTCTGTCACATCCGTACTAGAGCACATTGCAGCGTGTTGCATAACAGGATTACGTTTCTTCTCTCATTCAAATATTCCTTTTAGTATTTTACTTTTTTTAGTAATTTTTATTTTATTCTTTTTATTTTCAATTTCTATTTTTCATCCTTTAAACGTTTTAAACGAATCAATTGCATTATTCTATCAATTTTATTTACTCTTCATCTGATTTTCCACTGAGGATATCTTTTATTACTTAAGATAGCGTTGCAATCATTATAAACTATCACACATGATTTAAATAATTTATATTATAGTAACGTAATTAATTGAAACACATAAAACATTATATTAAAACGGACAATTTTAGAGTAAAAATGTTAGATTTGTTAGTGAAACTAACTCAAAATTTAAAAATAAACTTCAAATTTAATTCGATCTTATATGATTAGTAAAGTAAGACCTATATTTATTTATATACTTTAAATTCGTTTTAATTTAAGATATTTTTTACATTAATTAATACGAGATGAAATTATATACTTAGTTATATAGTATAAATTTGTTTGATCAATGTGAGATAAAAAAGAATTATTGGAATTTTTTTTAAAAGGAAAAAAAAGAAAGGAGTTGCTATATGCGTGATGTCTATTTCAGTCCTAATTTATATTTGACAGGTTCAAAGTATCTAAAAGAGATGCGAAAGTTGATTAGGTGAGAATAAATAAGAGTAGTGTGTAACTGAGATGGCCCAATAGGCAATAGTTGGTAGCATTTATTGGTGAATTGATTCATGTTGAAACATATTTATTGGGTGGTGCGGACATATACCTAGTCGGCCCAATAAGCCAATAAGTAGAATTAAAGAAGACAGTTAAGACTTTAAACTGTATTCAACACGAAAACAAATAGATTAGCTGACCCGATTATTCAAGAAATCATAATTAATGAACAGCCATATGAGTTGGTGAACCGACGTGAAAGAGGCTCATTAATGGTAATATAGAACAATACAAAATTAAGAGATATAATAAATTAGGTTTGTTTTAACTGTTTTTATTTTTGAAAATTTTCCTCGTAAATTATTCAAAGTCAATTTGGGTATTTGCTACTTCATCCATATATGTTACTACAATCTTCAAACAAGCACACAGAGTAATAGGTAAAATACGTGTTATTGTGAAAAAAAAAGAAAAAAAAGAAAAACATAATAATAATTATTGCAACTTGTCTATAATTCTCATATTTCTTTACTTGAAAAAAATTAAATTTTAAAAATTGTTAAACAACATATTACTAAATAGAGAAGTGAACGTAATTAATTAAAATATATATATATATATATATATATATNCATAGTCCCGTACCTATACAGTCTCTAGATCCCTCTCATTCTAGTGTATGTTCGATTCGTCCATGTGCCCCTTCCACTGGAAGCCTGCCAGGAACCACTCCTTGTCAGTGCCCCTTGCACTTTGTGCCTCTTGCACCGTCGATCACTTCCTGCCCTCCTCACTGTCTGGATGTCACAAAAAGTGTCTAAGGAATTGTGAACTTTGAAAATACAATTGGTAGTGACTTTGATCTTAAAATTCGTATTTTTTTTAATTACATCTGAATACAATTAAAAATATATTTTGTTCGTTTAAATTAAATAATTCCAAAATAATTTAAATTATTAAATGTAGTTAAAAATATATCTAAGTTAGTTTAAATTAAATCATTCCAAATCATTTTACAGAGTTTCGTACTCTGAATAAATTCAATGTAAACATTTATTGAAAAGGATACCTAAGTAAAAAGTTAAATTTTAAAAAAATCACAAGTGTTAGAAAAATTAACTTATACATAAATTAACCATTATTTTTCTATAAAAGAAAATATTCAAACGTATTTCTATGGAGAAGGCATATTTTTTTAATTAAAAGTAGTAAAACTTTGAAGTCAACGCTGATTAAAAACACTGTTGTCCTCTTGGCATATCGCACTAAGCAAGAAATCATGGAAATGTCCGAGGCACTCCGATTTCGATCACACAACTTCTCCCTCTTCCCACGTGCACCCATCTCTTCCACTGAGCACCCTCACAATTTGATGCCCATTTCACCAAAATTCAGTTCAAACACAAGGCTGTCGGTGACAACGGCGAAGAAAAAGTCAAGCATCGAAGGTGTGAGCGAAGAGTTGACCGCCATAGCCTCTCTGAACCTTGACTTCGCACCCTCGCGGAGACGGGTTCGTTCAGCTTTCACTGAGGTGCACCAGCAGCTGGACCATTTCTTGTTCAAGGTTAGTTCTTACTTGGCAATTTGTCATCTTTACAATAAAGCTTTGGTTGTCACGGTTTTATCTTTCAGAGTTTTGCCTCGTTAAAGAATCACTCATTCATTTTGATGTGTCAATCTCTTCCCCTGTTTGTCTTGGGTTGGCAAACTAGGCTGCTCCTGCTGGGATCAAAACTGAGGAAGTAAGCCTTTTCTATTTTTGGCAAACAATCTCTATGTTCTTTTGTTCGTTTGGTGAAAAATATGATCAATTTCGTTGCTTGTTTATTAGTGGTACGAAAGGAACTCCAGGGGATTGGAAATTTTCTGCAAAAGCTGGATGCCTGAATCTGGCGTTCCACTCAAGGCTGCTTTGTGTTTTTGTCATGGATATGGCAGCACTTGCACTTTTTTCTTTGAAGGTGGTTTGTCATAATTGCATGCCCTAAACCCTTAGATATATTTTTATTCAGTCTAATGATAAAATAATTGTCATTTGGTCTCTCATTTAAAAAAAAAAAAAANGTTAATTTATATATTTTAAATTAATATATAGATATTATTTTATTTAATTTTAAATTTATTATATAATTATATATAAATTAATTTTATTTTATTTAATAAAATAATAATTATTAATTTAATTTATATATTATTTAATTAATTATTATAATATATAAATATTATAAATGCAACGGATGAACATCCGTTAACATCTAATGTGGTCACATTCGTAGGTTTGTTTTTAATTTATTAATTTATATATTTAATTAAAATGTAATATTTAAAAAACTAAAAAAAAATACTTAAATGGATGGACACATTCATTGAATATAATTAATTAAAAATTTGGGTATGGAGTAGTGAAACGAATGTTTCGATTTATATCAAGGATAAGTTGAGTAAGAGGTGGTGGAGAAAATATTCGGTGTGGTGGAAGGAGTAACACTCGTTTGAAAACAGTCTCCATAAAAAAATCCAAAGTTTTGTTTTCGGTATATTCTCTATCGCTACCTATTCTATGTTCATAAGTTGATTCTCTTCTTTCTTCGTGTGTCTTTAATTAATGAGTTAAAACAATTTGGAGTTTTGAAGAATTCTATCATAGTTAATGAAAACATTGATAACAATACAACCAGTTGAACTTTTTTTTTATCGTAAGAAATAAAAATATCTTAAGAAGATGGAAGTGCCATTTCACATAATATTTTAACATTATCAATACAAGTGTAATTTTCCTGGTTTTTATAAATTAACTTGTTTTTTTAATTAATTGTAAATGGCTGTAGTTAACTTAAGACGATTACACGTATCTTGGCTTGCTGTTGTATTAGCTATAAGAGAATAAAAGTTGATATTACTGGAAGATGGTGCAAACAATACATATACTTTTGTGATCAGTGTGGTGGGATATAAGATTGTGGTAAATAAAAGGAAAAATATATTTTAATATATATAAATTTTTTAACACTATTCTTTCATATTTTGTATTTTTTTCTTGAAACGATAAAAAATAAATTTATGACTGTTAAATGAATGAAAAAATATATCACTTTATCATTACTCAAGAGTAAAAAAAAGTTTACAATCCTCTCTCTTGTCACAAACATCTTTGGTTATTTCACACCTTTAACGTTCATTTCTCATATCAAAACGTGAACAATAAAATTTGTTTTAATTGGATTTATATTCTTGAAATAATCAATCATAATTGTGAAATTGTTTCTCAATAAGTCAATGATTGCATAGTTTTAAATTTGGCAATGGTTATCAGCTGCTATCAATAATGAAGTCAAGGAAAAAACAAGGGTTAAATATGTTTTTAGTCCCTAAACTATTGGCCGTTTCTGGTTTTCGTCCCTCTTCCAAAGTAAGGTACAATTTGGTCCTCATTCTTTAGAAAAACGTTCGTTTTAGTCCTCAAAATTTTGTTTTTAGTCCTCAAAACGTTCGTTTTTTCGACTAAAACGAACGTTTTTTAAAGATTGAGGACTAAATTGTACCTTACTTTGGAAGAGGGACGAAAACCAGAAACGGTCAATAGTTTAGGGACTAAAAACATATTTAACCCAAAAAACAATTCTATTTGATGGAAAAATTAATGAGAAAAGAAGAGTCGTACAGAACGTTTAAAAATTGAATTTTTCATTTGAGGGGAAGACATCTAACTCTGATCAAAACTAGTAAAACTACAAAACTTCATTAGTGTTTTATGAAAGTGTTTAATTACCTATATTAGGCAAACTTGAAATGTAGATCAAGAAATTGAACCCTCCGTCAACTTTTGCCAACCCAAGAGAAGAACAAAATTTTCACTGGACATTTAAACCTAACAAATAGTTAACACCGTCAAAATGAATAAATCCATGATATTTACTTTTTTATTAAAATTTATTAATTTATGTGTTATAATATTTTGACATTTATTTTTCAAATATTTTCTAACATTCATTGTTATGACACCGTAGTGGTTTGTCCTCTAAGCACACCGTACTGAGAGAGGCTAGGCTCTGATACCACTTGTAACACCCCGGCAAGGTCACCCAGTGGTTTGTCCTCTAAGCACACCGTACTGGGAGAGGCTAGGCTCTGATACCACTTGTAACACCCCGGCAAGGTCACCCATCCCTAAATTACTTCAGGCTAAGCACGCTTAATCATGGAGTTATTATGAGTTAGGCTACCGAAAAGCAAATGCATTTGATGATATGAGTAGCCAAATCAATCCCTTTAAGCTATCCTTCAACTGCATAGTCCCGTACCTATACAGTCTCTAGATCCCTCTCATTCTAGTGTATGTTCGATTCGTCCATGTGCCCCTTCCACTGGAAGCCTGCCAGGAACCACTCCTTGTCAGTGCCCCTTGCACTTTGTGCCTCTTGCACCGTCGATCACTTCCTGCCCTCCTCACTGTCTGGATGTCACAAAAAGTGTCTAAGGAATTGTGAACTTTGAAAATACAATTGGTAGTGACTTTGATCTTAAAATTCGTATTTTTTTTAATTACATCTGAATACAATTAAAAATATATTTTGTTCGTTTAAATTAAATAATTCCAAAATAATTTAAATTATTAAATGTAGTTAAAAATATATCTAAGTTAGTTTAAATTAAATCATTCCAAATCATTTTACAGAGTTTCGTACTCTGAATAAATTCAATGTAAACATTTATTGAAAAGGATACCTAAGTAAAAAGTTAAATTTTAAAAAAATCACAAGTGTTAGAAAAATTAACTTATACATAAATTAACCATTATTTTTCTATAAAAGAAAATATTCAAACGTATTTCTATGGAGAAGGCATATTTTTTTAATTAAAAGTAGTAAAACTTTGAAGTCAACGCTGATTAAAAACACTGTTGTCCTCTTGGCATATCGCACTAAGCAAGAAATCATGGAAATGTCCGAGGCACTCCGATTTCGATCACACAACTTCTCCCTCTTCCCACGTGCACCCATCTCTTCCACTGAGCACCCTCACAATTTGATGCCCATTTCACCAAAATTCAGTTCAAACACAAGGCTGTCGGTGACAACGGCGAAGAAAAAGTCAAGCATCNTATTATTTTTTTAGTTTATTAATTTATATATTTTAAATTAATATATAGATATTATTTAACTTTATTTTAAATTTATTATATAATTATATATAAATTAATTTTATTTTATTTAATAAAATAATTATTATTAATTTAATTTATATATTATTACTTAATTAATTATTATAATATATAAATATTTTAAATGAAACGGATGTGCCGTACGTCCGTTGAGTATTTATTTTTTTAGTTTATTAATTTATATATTTTAAATTAATATATAAATTTTTAAGCTTTTTTTCTTTTTTAGTTTGTTAATTTATATATTTTAAATTAATATATAGATATTATTTTATTTAATTTTAAATTTATTATATAATTATATATAAATTAATTTTATTTTATTTAATAAAATAATAATTATTAATTTAATTTATATATTATTTAATTAATTATTATAATATATAAATATTATAAATGCAACGGATGAACATCCGTTAACATCTAATGTGGTCACATTCGTAGGTTTGTTTTTAATTTATTAATTTATATATTTAATTAAAATGTAATATTTAAAAAACTAAAAAAAAATACTTAAATGGATGGACACATTCATTGAATATAATTAATTAAAAATTTGGGTATGGAGTAGTGAAACGAATGTTTCGATTTATATCAAGGATAAGTTGAGTAAGAGGTGGTGGAGAAAATATTCGGTGTGGTGGAAGGAGTAACACTCGTTTGAAAACAGTCTCCATAAAAAAATCCAAAGTTTTGTTTTCGGTATATTCTCTATCGCTACCTATTCTATGTTCATAAGTTGATTCTCTTCTTTCTTCGTGTGTCTTTAATTAATGAGTTAAAACAATTTGGAGTTTTGAAGAATTCTATCATAGTTAATGAAAACATTGATAACAATACAACCAGTTGAACTTTTTTTTTATCGTAAGAAATAAAAATATCTTAAGAAGATGGAAGTGCCATTTCACATAATATTTTAACATTATCAATACAAGTGTAATTTTCCTGGTTTTTATAAATTAACTTGTTTTTTTAATTAATTGTAAATGGCTGTAGTTAACTTAAGACGATTACACGTATCTTGGCTTGCTGTTGTATTAGCTATAAGAGAATAAAAGTTGATATTACTGGAAGATGGTGCAAACAATACATATACTTTTGTGATCAGTGTGGTGGGATATAAGATTGTGGTAAATAAAAGGAAAAATATATTTTAATATATATAAATTTTTTAACACTATTCTTTCATATTTTGTATTTTTTTCTTGAAACGATAAAAAATAAATTTATGACTGTTAAATGAATGAAAAAATATATCACTTTATCATTACTCAAGAGTAAAAAAAAGTTTACAATCCTCTCTCTTGTCACAAACATCTTTGGTTATTTCACACCTTTAACGTTCATTTCTCATATCAAAACGTGAACAATAAAATTTGTTTTAATTGGATTTATATTCTTGAAATAATCAATCATAATTGTGAAATTGTTTCTCAATAAGTCAATGATTGCATAGTTTTAAATTTGGCAATGGTTATCAGCTGCTATCAATAATGAAGTCAAGGAAAAAACAAGGGTTAAATATGTTTTTAGTCCCTAAACTATTGGCCGTTTCTGGTTTTCGTCCCTCTTCCAAAGTAAGGTACAATTTGGTCCTCATTCTTTAGAAAAACGTTCGTTTTAGTCCTCAAAATTTTGTTTTTAGTCCTCAAAACGTTCGTTTTTTCGACTAAAACGAACGTTTTTTAAAGATTGAGGACTAAATTGTACCTTACTTTGGAAGAGGGACGAAAACCAGAAACGGTCAATAGTTTAGGGACTAAAAACATATTTAACCCAAAAAACAATTCTATTTGATGGAAAAATTAATGAGAAAAGAAGAGTCGTACAGAACGTTTAAAAATT